GGCAGAGATGTGTGAGACAGTTATTAGACCTATTCTTGTATTCTAGTCAGACCAACACGCTGGTCTGACTTAGAATAAAGCTGCACATTACTGTCCTGTAAGTGTAATTTGAAAAATCAAACAGAATTCATGAAAATCTTGACCTGTCTACAGCAAAAATCTGTATTATACAACAGCTGAGATTTCTAACCTGAGCTTCAAATCTAGGAAAACTTTCCTGCAACTCTTTTTGAATGAGTGTGTGTGGTGGTGTAGCCATGTTGGTCCCAGGATATTAAAGACAAGGTGGGTAAGGTAATATCTTTTATTGGCCCAACTTCTGTTGGTGAGAGAGACAAACTTTTGAGCTTACAGAGAGCTCTTCTTCAGGTCTTCAGCTCAAAAGCTTGTCTCCCTCGCCAACAGAAGTTGGGCCTATGAATGAGTATAAGCAGAAAACTAACTAGATGTTTGAGTTATCCAGACCTGTAATTCCAGGCTTTTCCAGTATCCTATCTGTTCATGGGTTTCTGATGGCTTTGTAAACACTCTTCGGGTATAACAGCACTTCTAAACTAAAAAAGTGGTTTCTAATGGTTTTCTATTTTGGACAGTAACATTATAAAATGTCATTTCTGTGATCTCAAGTATGCCTTATCACTGTTAGAGATGCATCCAATGAACTGTTTCATTAAAGGAGCTAAAAACTAATGTGTTTAGTATTGTATGTAGCAGTCTTTCACCTTATGTACTGAAAGTTTATACTTTTCCTGACTTGGTTTGTCCCACAATATTTACACTAATTTATATTAAAACTTATTTGTTTCTTCACAGATTGATGCTACAACAGACCCTGGAACATGTGGCTATAGAAACTCGCTAAAGATGTCTGTTCCAAATCAACAGTATCCAACTATTGTTAATCCTCCACCGCCAGAATATATCAATCCTAAAAAACCTGGCTGTTTAACAAATCAACTTCAGTATTTACAGAGGGTGGTCATGAAAGCTATGTGGAGACACAACTTTTCCTGGCCATTTCACCAGCCTGTAGATGCTGCAGCACTAAACCTTCCTGTAAGACTCCATTTGAGTATTGTATTAAGCCTTATATGTTGAAGAATAAGCAAGTGAAATCTTAAAGGTGAACTGAAATGTTGGCTTTAAAAAACAAAATCTGCTACTCTACAGAGATTCTGGGCAGTGCTCCAGTTTAGGCCCCCAGGACTGTCCACATTATGCCAGAAGTATTTCAGCCACCAAAGCTGGGGGTGGGAGTGGGGTACCCTTCTAAAGACACCTGCTCTTAAAATAGTCAATAGTTTCCTGACATCTTTTAAACTGTTTATAGAGCATTGTGTCCATTCAAACTTTAGCTCAGGGTTCTGAGAATACTGTCAACACCTCTGACGCACCCCTAAGAGGTTGACATTTCTTAATCCTTCATAATCTGAAAATACGGCACCTTTGGAACACTTTAATATGCTATATTTACTTTTATGCATGTAAGATTTATTAGAAAATATTGACTATTGAAGATGCATTATGTTTTAGAGAATGTTTCAGTTTGATTGACATTTGGTCTTGTTTGTGAAATGTCCAAGCAATTAACACTTTACACCAGGAAATTAATGGATTACTTTTTTTCAGTAATCATCATGTCTTGCTGACTGGAAGGTGGTGAAACTGACCGATGATGCTCCGAAGCTTCTTTCTCTGTTATGCTGACAGTGTATCACTTTTTTTTTCCTACAGTGCAGAGAAGATGAATACAAATACTAAGGGTTTTAAAAAAATAAACCTTGTGAGACTTCCTCAACACCATATGCCTGCTGTATGGCTTTCACTCACTCTTTTGGGGCCTTGATGTAGGGGCAACCTGAGACTTTAACTTGTTTGAGTGATGAAAGAATTAAGAATGTGTGGTCATTTTCTCGCTAGGATAGTCTGGTTTCTCCCTATATCTGTCCTGTCAAAATCTCCATTTCAAATACAGAATTACACATCAGTTGACCAGCATAGCTCATTGTGGTAATCCAAAATCGTCTTGACTTTTAAGTGAAAGACCGAACTTCTGATTTTCAACTTTCATTTTCTATGTAGTGCAACATTTTAATAGCAGACCCCCTTAGATAACCTTCAAGAAACTTAAAAAGGCAATATTCCATTCTTAAAATCACCTACAAATGTATGCATACCTCCTAAAAGAAGGCTAGCCACATTTCTCAGTTTGGAAGTCCTTGAGATATGAGGGTTGTTTTCAATGGCTTGGTTCTTGCTTGTACTATAGACTTCCTCTCAAAAATGTGTATATCCAGTCAGAGCCCAGGGGTTAGGCTGCTCACCTGGGATGTGGGAGACCCAGATTTGAATCCCCACTCTACTTGATTTAGAGCAAGGACATGAACCCGAGTGTCCCACATCCTAGGTGAGTGCCCTAAATACTGGATTATAGCATCAATCTCTGTCTGGACCAATGAATACTTATTTTCTGAAATAGCACATTATAAAATTTAAAAGAATGGAAATTAACTAGATGACCTAACATCTTTCTATTACCCTACCAAAGAAGGCTTAGAAACATAGCAATTGCCATACTGAATCAGACCAGTGGACCAGTAGTGTGTCACTAAGGATCTGTTTCTGAACAATGCCAAAGAAAGGTGTAACAGACCCCAACGAAGTGATTATGGGATTACTTGTCCCCAAATAAAGCTTTCTCCTAACCCTGAATAGTTTTTGGCTTGTGCACTGAAGTATGAGTGCTCTTATCCCTGCCCAAACCCTTGTTTGTTGGTTGGTTTTTTACAATTAACTTGGGATAGAACTCTCATCTTAATGAGATCCTGTGGCAATGAGTTCCACAAGCAAACTGTGTATTATGTGGGGGAAAGTGCTTCCTTTCATCAGTTCGAAACTCTCTGCACAATTTGGGGTCACTGACTGTTCCTTCTTGTATTATGAGACAAATCAAACTTCTGTTCATTCTATTTTCTCAATAACATTCATTATATTGTGTACTCTTATTTTTGCATTTGAGGTTATGCAATCCCAGTCTCCCTCAATATGAGGTTTTATGCCTTGAACCGTTATTGTTACCAATCTCTGAACTCCCTCAGGATGCTGCTGTATTCTTTCTGATTTTTTGGGGGTGTGAAGGGGTATATATTATTCTAGTCTTGTCAAGGAATGGGGCTTCCACTACAACTGCCCTTAGACTTTTAATGTGCTGAAAGGTGTTGCTCTTAGGTTTATAATTTCCTCAACTCAGTCAAGTTTCTCCTGGTTATCCCCTTAGATTACCCTTAAACTTGCCTTTCATTAGTGCTCACATGTACCAGCCATTTATAAATTGTTTCCATTACATAGTTGTTACTTAACCAAGCTATGGTATAAATACTTAGTTCTTTTAACATTTTCTTATAAATCAGTCCCTCCAGACAATTGGTGTTATTTGGAGCAGCAGACAAAACCCTTTATTCATATCTGTTTCTCTTGACAAACTCATTTGGTCAGTTTGTCCAAAAGCACTGTCAAAGTGACTGTCGTCTGTATTTTGTTCTTAGGAGAAACTGTCACTTAAGGTTAATATTGTAGGTCATCCATTCAAAGTTGTGGCAACAATTGTAGTTAGCCTCAGGACAGTTCTGCCTCTTCAAATTTCTAAGGCAGCCACTTAGAATTTAACACATACTTTCGGAAATAGTGTAGCTTCAACTTTTGCATAATCTACAATTCTGTCTGGCTTCATTATAAGGACAACGAATATCTAACTTTACTCTTCTGACACCGAAAGGGGACAGGAGGTGGCAGAAGAGATCAGTATTTTGACAATAGCTGTTTTTTAGCTGTGTAGTTTAAATGTTCTTCTGGTCATGTTGTTGAACAGGAACTTAAACATTATTATGATGTATTTAGCCTTTTGTTCCAGTGGATAAATTGCTCTAGTTAGAGGTGCTTCAGAGGTCGTTATTACTAACTTAACTATTTGAAGCATATGTAACCCAGTTAATGGGAGTGTAAAACTGTTTCTGATTTCTTCTAACCTAGAGATTAACAACTGTGTGCTAATTCCCAGAGGTGGAAGTGAGCAATTCTACTAGGACTCTATATTTTTTTTTAAATTTTTTATTTTAATTTGAGTCAGTCAGCTAGAACTTGAATTCACCTTTGTTTTTAGGGAAGCACCATGGCCCAATGGATAATGTACTGGGCAGACATCAAGAGACCTAGGCTAGGTCTACACTACCCGCCTGAATTGGCGGGTAGAAATCGATCTCTCGGGGATCGAATTATTGCGTCTCGTCGGGACGCGACAATCGATCCCCGAATCGACGCTCTTACTCCGCCAGCGGAGGTGGGAGTAAGCGCTGTCGACGGGGAGATGCGGAGGTCGATTTTGCCGTCGTCCTCACAGCAGGGTAAATCGGCTCCGATAGGTCGAATTCAGCTACGCAAATGCGTATATTAAATCGACACCCCCCCCCCCCCGTAGTGAAGACCTGCCCTTAGACTCTCTTCCCAGCTCTGCCTGCAATTTTGTGCAAGTCTCTTTGCCTGTCTTTGCTTCCATTTCTCCATCTGGGAAATGGGGATGCTTATTTTCACTTGTAAATTGCTTTGAGACCAACAGATGAAAAGTGCTATACAAGAGAACTATTATTCCTAGCAGAAGTGCCATTTATCCACATCGTCCTAATACTATTGAAATGAATACTTTAAAAAAAAATCTATCATGCAATGGGAGGAGTACAAAGAAATTAAGTTCCATAATACCTCTGCTGTTGTGGCACTTACAATGCTTTTAATGGTAACTTTCCTTGAGGTTTAAAGTTTTCTTTTAATGGAATGTTCCTATTCCAAATTCAGCAACATAGTAGTTTTATTCTCCTGTAAAGGTTAACAGGTTGTCCTCAAATGTACAAGAGCACTCATGTCCTAGTAACTCTTATTAATCTTTAATTAAATTCACAAATTGTATGGTTTTTAACCATCTTTTCAAAACTACAGGATTATTATAATATCATTAAGAAACCCATGGACTTGAGCACAATTAAAAAGCGTTTGGAACATAATTATTATACAAAAGCTACAGACTGCATTGAAGACTTTAAAACTATGTTCACGAACTGCTATGTGTATAACAAGGTATGTAAAATGCTAAAAAGAGGGGTATGTAGTAAATGTGTATAGTGTTCAGTAGGCCATATACCCAATTCTGAAAGTGTTCGCTATTGATGCATTTTGTTACTTGTAAGGGCCAAGTAACTTAATGTGTCTCTGAATTGTAATGGAAAACATTTATTTAAATAGGCTGCTAATATTTATTCAAACTTACCAAAAGCACCTAGTCAACTTCTAGCCATCTGTACAATTCATCAAAAGGATAAATGTCTCCACACAAGGATACTACCAACAAACCCACTACAACACTACACAACATAGCCCGTGTAATCGCACAACAAACATGTCTAACAATTAAAAAGTTTATCAGGAAACTCAGTGAATAGATGAGCTTTGAAATGTATAATGACTGACAAAATAGTGTGTGACAGACCAATGGAAGAAGCAACTTTTAAAATGCTGCTTATGCGTGGCAAACTCAGGCAGTTTTGTTTTAATACTTGATTGCTGTATCCTCAGGATTTGAAGGATGCTCAAGTGAACAGCCTGAAACTTGTCTCAGTGTAGGAGTGGGATGGCTGGGGAAATATAGAAGGAAATAATAAAGGGGTGGAGGGGCATTTAGTCTTTCAATATGATCTGTGGAACTGGTGAGGTGGGTTATGTAACCCTTTTAAGGTTGTTCTGTAATCAGACTTTATTTAGAGACCCTATTGTCTGATTTCAGATTGACCGTAAACTTGTAACGCATGATGCTACAGAACATGGGTATATTATAATACTACTGAATGTAATACTCTTGTATTATTAAAGTATATTGCCTATATTCTTTGATTTACAAACATAATTACCGGTATATCTTGCAGCCAGGCGATGACATTGTTTTTATGGCACAAGAGCTAGAAAAAGTATTTATGCAGAAAATGGCACAAATGCCTCCAGAAGAGAAAATAGTGATTGTCAACAAAGGAAAAAGAAAAGGAAAGAAACAAGAAGGTAAATACTAGACTACATATAGTGTTAATGTATTAACTTGCTAACAGGTCACATTTTAATTACAACTTTTTTGTAAACATCAAATTGTGGGAGAGCTGATATTCTTGACAAGTCTATAGAATGGTAAAATTTTATGGCGACTATAAGCAATTTACTATTTGGACTAAAACCTTATGCTACTAAACTTTGCTGTGGAACAGTTCGGGTCAGGACTCTGTATTTCACAAAATGACAACTGTCAGTTGATTTTCCTGGAATTCAGTAGACAGGCAAAAAATCATTGCTTCAAGGTTTTAAGCAGGTTCAATATGCCAATAATAAATACCCTCTCCAGTTCTTGCTGAATAACTTAAAAAAAAAAATTCTACCTTTGACATGAGTTTGAGGTTTAGCTCATTCTCTGCATTGACAGTTAACCGGTACAGTAGTATAGTTTTATAGGAAAAATGGTTTATCCATCTGATGAAAGATGCTTCCTGAAAGGAGAAGTAGTGCAGTGCATATATTCCATAATTGACTTGCAATAAAAAAACTAAGCTAGTTAATATTTTACTTTTAACTTCCTAACTTAAAAGTATACTAAGTATTGGAAGTGGGAAATGCAAATCTGTGTTTGCTCTCACACCTTGAAGGAAGGCTGAGGTGTACAGGTCAAGACCTATCTGGTTTTCTATTCTTATCTCTGTCACTAAATTACTGTTTGTCATTGATAAAATTGTTTAGTATTCTTCAGTGGTGAGCTGGAGCCGGTTCGCATGAACCAGTTGTTAAATTTAGAAGCCAGTTTAGAATTGGTTGTTAAAGGGGTGTGCAAACTCCGGCCCGTGGGGCCGTCCTATCCGGCTCGCCTGAGCTCCCAGCTGGGGAGGCTCCCCTGCCCTCTTCCCCACCTTCCCCGCTTTCACAGAGCCCAGCGCCAACACTCTGGACCGCTCCTGGGCAGCTTGGCGGCTCCTGACGCTTTGAGTGGCATGGTAAGGGGGTGGGGCTGCGAGCTCCAGCAGGGCATGCGGCATCCATACATGCTGCCCCGAGCAGCATAGTAAGGGGGCTGGGCCGGGGCTGGGAGGAGGGGTTGGATAAGGGGCAGGGAGCGGTTGGAGGGGGCGGAGGTTCTGGGGGGGCTGTGAGAGGACGGGCAACAGGGGGATTGGGTAGGCGTGCGAGTTCCGGGGGTCTGTCAGGGTGGTGGTGGATGAGATCGGGGCAGTCAGGGACAGGGAGCGGGGCGGGGCAGTTAGGGTCGGGGTCTCGAGCTTGTACTCACCAGATGGCACTTAATAACCGGTTCCCTACCGGGTCGTCATTGGCACTTCGGCGGCGGGTCGTTCACTCGTGCGGGTCTTCGGCGGCACTCAAGGACCCGCCGCCGAAGTGCCACTGAAAACCCGGAGCGAGTGAAGGACCTGCCGCCGAAGACCCAGTAGGGAACCGGTTATTAACATTCTGGCAGCTCATCACTGGTATTCTTGTACCTCTGCTTCTCTTTCTGTAAAATTAAGATGCTTCTGAGCACTTCAGACATGTGATCTGCTGATTAAAGGTGCTGTATAAACAAATGTATTTACAATAGGGCTCTTGATTAATCGCAGTTAAATCATGTGACTAATCGCAATTAAAAAAATTACTCAAGATTAATCACAGTTTTAATTGCACTGTTAAACAATAGACTACCAATTTAAATTTATTAAATATTTTGGATGTTTTTCTACATTTTCATATATATTGATTCCAATTACAACACAGTACAAAGTGTATATTTTATTACAAATATTTTCATTGTAAAAATGATAAACAAAACATAGTATTTTATAGTTCACCTCATAAAAGTACTATAGTGCAGTCTTGGTCATGAAAGTGCAACTTACAAATGTAGAACTATGTACAAAAAAACTGCATTCAAAAATAAACCATCTAAAATTTTAGAGCCTGCAAGTCCACTCAGTCCTACTTCTTGTTCAGCCAATCACTAAGACAAATAAGGTTGTTTACATTTACAGGAGATAATACTGCCCGCTTCTTGTTTACAATGTCACCAGAAAGTGAGAACAGGTATTTGCATGGCACTTTTGTAGCCGGCATTGCAAGGTATTTATGTGCCAGATATGCTAAACATTCATGCTTCAGCCATCATTCTAGAAGACATGCTTCCATGCTGATGATGTGTGTGTTAAATTTGTGAATGAACTCCTTGTAGGAGAATTGTATGTCTCCTGCTCTGTTTTGCCCGCATTCTGCCATATAATATAGCAGTCTCGCATGATGACCCAGCACATGTTCTTCATTTTAAGAACACTTTCACTGCAGATTTGACAAAATGCAAAGAAGGTTCCAATATGAGATTTCTAAAGATAGCTACAGCACACAACCCAAGGTTTAAGTATCTGAAGTGCCTTCAAAAATCTGAGAGGGACGAGGCGTGGAGCATGCTTTCAGAAGTCTTAAAAGAGCAACACTCCAATGCGGAAACTACCAAAAAAGAAAATCAACCTTCTACTGGTGACATCTGACTCAGATGATGAAAATGAACTGCATCAGTCTGCACTGCTTTGGATTGTTGAGCAGAACCCATCATCCGCATGGACGCATGTCCCCTGGAATGGTGGTTGAAGCATGAAGGAACATATGAATCTTTAGCCCATCTGGCACTAGGGTGGCCAGATGTCCCTATTTTATAGGGACAGTCCTGATATTTGGGGCATTTTCTTCTATAGGCTCCTATGACTCCTCACCCCATCCTGATTTTTCACACTTGCTGTCTGGTCACCCTATCTGCACGTAAATATCTTGCAACGCTGGCTACAACAGTGCCATGCAAATGCCTGTTCTCACTTTCAGGGGACATTGTAAACAGGAAGCAGGCAGCATTATGTTTACTCTCCTGCAAATGTAAACAAACTTGTTTGTCTGAGCGATTGGCTGGACTGAATGGACTTGCAGGCTCTAAAATTTTACATGGTTTTATTTTTGAATGCAGTTTTTTTGTACACAAGTCTACATTTGTAAGTTCAACTTTCATGATCAAGAGATTGCACTGCAGCACTTGAATTAGGTGAATTGAAAAATACTATTTCTTTTAACAGTGCAAATACTTGTAATCAAAAGTAAATATAAAGTGAGCACTGTACACTTTGTATTCTGTGTTGTAATTGAAATCCATATATTTGAAAATGTAGAAAACATCCAAAAATATTTAAATAAATAGTATTCTATTTTTGGTGCCCTTCCATCTTACATTAAATTCTTCATTAGCGAGGTGATATTGTAAATGAATCTTACTACTTTCAGAGCTGGTATCAAGATTCAGTTCCAATAAGTCACCTATCAAGATTATTCATACACCCTTGCACCCATCTCAGGGAGGTTCTCTTCCACAATCTGTTTCAAAGATCTTAAGGACTTCGTGTGGAATAACTAATGTCCTGCGATAACCTACCCAACCTCTCTTGCTTATCACTACAACATGTTCTGCTTTCTGAGAACCACCTCTTATTGTTTGGCCAAGCTAATATTTTATTGTCACACCTTTGGCAGGCCTTTGATTTTTAGGGTCACGTTAAAGGAGCGTCTGCCTCTACACTGAACCTTCAATCAGACTTCACATGGGAGATTTATGAGGGCAGCCACTTGGAGTACACAACTATAAATTATTAACTTGAGGAGTTCAAGCAACAATGATCACTTTGCTTAAGTGGTCTTACAGAATCCCTTTTCCAAGCTGACTACCTAAGTGCTTCTCCAAATTAGTAAACTTACTTTTGAAATATTGGGCTCTTAGTAGAACTTAAATTATAGAGAGGATTTCTGTCATCACTGTTTATCTGGTATCTGTTTCTAGTTCCAGTACTACTTCTATTCTATTCCACTTTTTTTTTTTTAATCCAAATGAGACCTCAATGGAGAAATTCAATTTCCAAGTACAGAGACCTAAAAAAGCCTCTCTGGAAAAAAGATGAATTTTTTTCAAGGGCATTAACTCAGTTGAAGACTCTTGGGGGCACTATGGCTCCGCTGCTGAACTAGCACTTCAGATCTGAACCAGGAGAGTCCCCATCTGGTCTTGCATTAGGAGCATGGATGCAAAAGTGGTAATTGTTGCACTTGCGTATAGCTTCAGAGAGCACCAATTGCAGGTTAGTATTTGGTCAATTGAAAATAAGACCATGTAGCCTTTGGGCCTACCAACAGGAGCTTTGTGAAAGGAAATGTTATGACTGGAATGTAAAGATGGGGGGGGGGTTGATACATTCATCAATGGGATTATGACTAAGTTGCCTGCAATGACAGGAGACTGGACTTGATGACCTAGAAGATCTCCTCTATAAGAACATAGGACTGGAATTGTTGGGACACCAAAGTACACATCTCAGTGTAAATTGGTTTGATTTATTAGGACCTCAGCTGCCTGATTCAGGAGTTTGTACCACTGAGCAAAATCAACTGCAGAAGCAACTTGAAAGCATTGTTAAGCAGCCTCACGTGATGACTCCAGTACCACAGCAGCTTGTGTTAGCCCCTCTGTCAATGGCTCAGTCGACTACCTTAATGTCAGCCACGCTACCTATAACAAAAGTAAGTTACCTTTTATATACTGGCTTCTAATTAAAGTAGATTGACACTGTCTGGGGCAGTAGTTGGCACATCCATGTATAGTATGGATCACAATGCACAAAACTAATGGAACACCATTTAACATAGTGCACTGTGAATAAGCACAACCTATTTATCTTGCATCTTACAAAATGTAGATTGTTTTTTTAATACACCATTTCTGATCTCTCGAATAAGTGGGGCAGCACTAATTACAGTAATAGGGCAGAGGTTGAGTCAAAAAGTAGGGTTATTGCATATTTAAATCTTGGTGTTTTGCTTTTCTTTGTGCTTAGATGAGTTAATGAATGTTTCTTTTTTAGACAGATGGTTTGAGAGACTGGTAGCTTTGCTTTATGTTGAGTTAAAGGTGGTTTCCCACTATGGGGACAGATCTCTGCTTAACTTCAAAATTAAATATTCAAAAGGAACTGACCTAGTTTTAATGTAAACTAAGTCCATGATATGATTGGAAATGATCAATTTTCAAAATAACCATACTACCTGTTAAATCTACAACAGAATAGTTATCTTAAACAACTCTTTTGTATGAGCTACAAAAACAATAGCTGCTATCTGGACCTGTGTCTGAAAACACGTCATTTTGGTTAGATCAAACCATCTCATATCAACTAGTGTTGTTTCAACTATTCCAGCTAGAAACATGCATGCTCTCTCCCAGACCTTTTTCAGAAAAGTAAAAATATGTATTTGGTGAGTATTTAGTGAGTTAGTGGCAAAGTGCATATATTGTATCTCTTCCAAACCAGAGGCAGCACAATGTTAGACCAAACCTAAGATAGGGCTACCATATGTCCGGATTTCCCCGGACACGTCCAGCTTTTCGGTCTATAAATAGCCGTCCGGGGGGGATTTTTAAAAATCTAAAAATGTCCGGGATTTCCCCCCGGTCGGCTATTTATAGACAGAAGCGGCGGCCAAGCACCACTGGGCACCCAAAGCCCCTTCCCGGCTCCCCCCATCCCCTGCAGCCTTACCACCCTGTCCAGCCCCGCAGCTGACTTCCCCCTCCTCCACTCCCCTGAATGCTCCGCCCACCTGCTCCTCTCCCCCTCCCCTGCTTCCCACCAATCAGATCTTCGCGGGAAGTCTGAAAAGAAGCAGTGGCAAGCGGGAGACAGCAGCAGGTAAGCTGGGGCGGGGGGGGGAGGGGTGTGAAGAGGAGAGCTCCGGGGAGGCGCGGCCCTGGCCGCGTGGCTCCCTCCGGCCCAGGCCGAGCGGTGACTGGCAGCCCCAGCGACTCCGGCCCGGCCCAGGCCCCAGGGTGGCGGCCCCGGTTCTGGCCCCGCGGCGGCGGCGGTCCCAGCACCGGCCGAGCACCCCCAGCCCGGCCCGGCTCGGGCCCCAGCAGCGCCAGCCCAGCACCGGCCGAGCACCCCCAGCAGAGCCGGCTTGGGCTCCAGCCCCGGCCGAGCACGCCAGCTCAGCCCCGGCCGACCACCTCCGGTCCAGCCCCAAGCTCCACAACCCCGGCCAGAGCGCAGCCCGATTCCTGGGCTCTTTAAAGCCGACCCTGGTCAGGGGACGAGGGAGGGGGTTGGAGTTTGGGGGGG